GAGAGGTTGTATTGTTGTATTGCTGTATTGCTGAGATACCTGGGCTGGCTTGTATTCTGGAAGCAATCTGCCTGATGTAACACAGTGCATGGAGCCAAGTTATTTTGCTCAAAATGGTGAATCTTTCTGACTTAAAAAACAACAGCAATAAAGACACACATCCACCACTTTCAGCCCCAAGGTATTTGGATCTCCATTTTCTCCTCTATTGTTCTCTTTCACTTCCACTGCTGGCACAGAGTAATGCACACAGCGCTTCTACAAACATGTTTAGAAGGAGCTATTTACCTTGTATAAGCCACTAAATGGAGTAGATACAGTAGCAGGCAAGGTTAGATATCACAACAGGTCATAATCTATATATGTCATATATAGATCATATATATCATATCTATATATGTCATATGGATTATGGTCATAATCCATAATCAAATACTGTGAAGCTTTTTGTAGGGAATATTGATATTAGAGAGGAATTTGATGAAGATAAGTTTTCCATATGCTTGGAAATAGCTGTAAGGAGTAGTGACAGATAAATATCTTAATTCTTGTTTTTAATCCAACAACTAGGAAGCAAAAGTTAACATCAGTGTCTTGACTGATGTTAACACCCTGTCAGTGGGTAACGGGAAATTCATAGTAAAAGAATTATTAAAAGGCCTTGAAAATTAAAACTTCTGTCTTATGCTTGGTGTAATTAGGAGAAGGGTGGCAAAAAGAAGATCTGCATAGTCTGTTTACACTAACAAAAGACTTCTAAAAAGGAAAGCTGTGCCCTTGGAGATTTCTGTCTCTAATGGTTGTCTACTGGTAGCATCTTTCCTTTCTCAATACTGAAGAGCTGCAGGAGAGCGATCTAGCTAGCGAGGTTGCCTCTTGCAATAGTTCTCCTGCTTAAACAACCAGTTCTTCTGATCTCCCTCTTTCCTGTTATTTATCTTTGTGAGCACAGTGTTTACATGTATGGGGTGTTTTTGGCATACAATTTTGTTGTATTTTCGTATTGAGTTTTCTTCTGACAATTTTTGTTAGTTACATAATATGCTGATGGTAATATGTGAAAATATTGAAAGATGATTGATACTGATTCAATTCTGATTCAACACTGATTCATTTCATACTTAAACAGTAAATCTCTAGTTTGTGTAGCGGTACAGGCTTTCTCCTTGTCCCTCGTATGTTACAATAATGATTATTACTTGAAGGGCAATCTGCTTCGAGGCCTCCTGTAACAAGAGAAGTAAGAGCAAGACAAGTATCATCATCTACTCCCACCAGGACTTGAGGGTCACAGTGGGGAAAAAAATAGTGTGGCAAGTTACTCCGGTTTTCTCCAGTATGCTAAAATTACTCACTGTATACTGAAAAATGTTCTTCAGTTTGAGGGAGAAAAGTACTACTCTTTTAAAAATATTATTACTATGCTTAAGCTGTATTTTAAGTATTTTTGTATCCATGAGCTGCAACACTGAGTTGCAAGTTTCCATTAATATTAAAAAACACGCACTAGTTTGAATGGGTATACCATTTGAGTTTTAAAGGAGAACCAGATTTTTACATTTCTGAAAGATCAAGATTGCAAATAAAGCTTCTAGTAAAAGTAAAGTTGGACTGTTTTGGCATGGTACCATTTGGAGTTGTATAATGAAGAAAAAGAAATGTAAGAGAAAACTTTTCTAGATATGTTTGTATTTTGCCTTACTTGAAATATATGAGAATATCCTTTTGAGGGCAAAGGAAGTATATGTTTGCAAGAAGCAAAAAAGAAAGACTAAGACTGATCTTATATTTGAGACTAAGGCTCTCATCTGATATATTTTTGATGAGTTAAACTTACGTAACCCTTGGTTGCTCAATGGCTTGGTCTTGCCCATATTATTTTTGTAAGTAATCTTGCATTTGTTCCAAAGTGGAATGAAAGGAGATTGTAACACCTCAGTGTTTCTGTAAACAATTGCTTCTGTTTCTGTCTCTTAAAGGTACTTTATGTGTAAACACCTGGAAAAAGTTTAGAAAGAGAGGGTTTTGCAGAGAGACTCTTAACCTCCACTGGTAGCCCTCCATTAGGTTACCTCCGTTGCTTTTGGAGTTTTTCATGAAGTAATGGTGATAAGCAGCTGAAGTAGGAACAATAACTTTTTTTTTTTTTTTTTTGTGTTAAGTAAAAATTCTCTAAAATAGAAAAATGATACTTTGGATAGTATTTTTTGCCACATCAAATAATACTTCAGGGATAACTAGATTTTTCCATTCTGAACATCTTTGGTATCCATTTTCTTGAGCATTTTCTCAGTGTATGTACGTGCTCAAAATACGAAGATGTACACTGTTGTTTTGGCCACCTGTCTAATAAATTTAATCTTGGAAGATGATTTGGGGAGCAAACAAAAACCAAAACAAAACTATAGCAGAATTTTAGTATTGGCAAAAGCTAAGTGTTTGTCTACTCCATTGTCCTACTTTGATGTATTCTGATTCTGTCTTTTTTAGGGAGCTCGAAACACCATGAATTAAGCTGTACTGCATTGCATTATTAAAACAAGGAAATTTTTTTTTCTTAGGGTTTAAAGTAGGGGGTAATGTTGTAAAACAAATGGGAGAGACCTTGTAGCTTTTATTTGATTGTTTGGGATATTTTAATGCCATAGAGCTGGTAGTTGTCTTAGATTAGGAATTAATGTAGAGATGTCCTTTGGCCTGTCAAAGTACAGGACCAGTTTTGTTACTTCTAGCCTTAAAATTTGTAGCATCCTTGTGGTCGTGGCATCTTAAAGTAATTAAGTTTCTAAGGAATCTTGTTTTTTGCATTTAAGGTTTACAGCTCGACCACTAGTGGAGACTATATTTGAGAGGGGAATGGCTACTTGTTTTGCATATGGACAAACAGGCAGTGGAAAAACCCATGTAAGTATTTCTTGTACATGTAAGTTTTTTTATATATGATACCCTTAGATATGTTCTAATAAGTAACAAATACATAAGTTACTGTTCTGTGATCTTTACAGTGTATTTTTGGTCTTTTTTTTTTTTTTTTTTTTTTTTGTGTATTTTTGGTTTTTTTTTTTTTTTTTTTTTTTTTTATTTAGACTATGGGTGGTGACTTTTCAGGAAAGAACCAAGATTGTACTAAGGGAATATATGCACTTGCAGGTAGGACTTTATTGGTCTCTTGGCTTTTTGCAGATCAGTTGAGATCAATAAATTTTCTTCTCCCTGCCCTACTAACATAAAGGTCTATACATTTTGCATTGCAGAGGAGCTTTGGTAGAAAGTAGTACGCAGATGTGTAGTCTTTACACAATAAAGTGTGTATATATATATATAGATATAGATTACTTCAAAAAATGTAATAAATGTAACAGATCATTAATTAATTTTATAATTTTGGACTTCCTTCATCTTCTGATGTAATGTGGCAGTTTAAATTCGTGGACTGACACTACCTTTTATACTTGCAAAATATGAGAGGTGCTGTAAAATAGACTGTTGTGCATTAATGAGTCTTTACTAAATGAAAATACATAACGAGATTTCTTTTTATTCTGGAAATGCGTTCACAGCTCGAGATGTCTTTTTAATGCTAAAGAAACCAAACTATAAGAAGTTAGAACTTCAAGTATATGCAACGTTTTTTGAGATTTACAGTGGTAAGGTAAGTACCTGATCTTTCTTTGAGGAAGGTGGAATTTCTCTTTCACAAAGATTTTGAGCTTTTCTCAGAAAAGATTTTTTGTTTCCTCTTTGTACTAAAAGCTTTATTTCAAGTAACTCTTTACAGTTCCCTTCCAATCATGTTTTTCCTTGAATGCTTTGCATATTTTGGTATGGGATTTGAAACAAAAGTGTCTTTTAAAACTCCTCTTTAACTGTTCTGTTTTCCCCCCCCTCCCTAAGGTTTTTGACTTGTTAAACAGGAAGACAAAATTAAGAGTGTTAGAAGATGGTAAACAGCAAGTCCAGGTGGTGGGATTACAGGAACGGGAAGTCAAATGTGTTGAAGATGTTCTTAAGCTTATTGACATAGGCAACAGCTGCAGGTATCTCCCATAGCTTCCACCAGTTTTTCATTGTACGTTAAAGAATCAGAACATGAGGGTTTTTTAGTTTCTTCACAGAGGTGGCTTTTCAATATGCAGTGGGTTTTTTGATGATGTTGGCTGGAAATAAGGAATCTGCCTACCTTTTAAACAAAAGATATTTAGAGTTTCTCTGTCTCCTAGAGAGAAATAAGAACTGATTTTTCTACAGGATGTGAACTGCATGCATTATGTAACCAGCTTACTGACTTAAATTCACATCATTTTTAATCTGGAATACTGCCAGATTCTTCAGCGCTAAAAGACCTTGATATGTAGTGACAGAGGTTAAGTCTAAAATTTTTATTTTTTAAGAATCCAGCTTTGTTCCTTTTAAAATTAGCCTTGTGCATAGACTGCTGCCTGATCAGATAAAAATGCCATGAGGATTTGAAGATCTGATTATTCTTGCTTTTAAAAGGGAGATAAAACGTTACTAATCTTCCATTTCTGTTTGAAGAAGTGGAAAAAGAAGTGTTATTGTACTATGTACATCCAGTTATTAGGGTTGTGTCTCTTGTGTGCGCAAGAACTTTAGGCATGCTGTCAACACTTGTAAGAATACACAGGACTCTGCGCTGAAAAAACTAACGCTCTGAGGTTAGTGTCTTTACCACGTATGGTCCTTCGCCTGTTCATACGTCCTTCCCTTCTCTCTTTGCGTTTAAAGGACATCTGGCCAGACGTCTGCAAATGCACACTCATCTCGAAGCCATG